TAATTCAATCTGTTTTGAATAAAATTTTGTTTTTTTCTTTTTTTTTTTTTTTGCAAATAATGATTAGATGAATTAAATTACAAAATTTGCATGGATGAATCATAAATAAAGCGACAAAAAATTCCAAAAGTGCAATATTTATGTATGAAAATATTCCTTTAAAAAAAAACATTATAGTACATGTCTGTTGAAAAAAAAAAAAAAGTTTGCATAGAAAAAAGCAAGTTATCATATTGACGTACGTATGTTGTAGGAAATGTACAAAATGCAGTAGCATGCAGCGTACGTAAACAACGAAGATAAAAAGTGTAAAATTTAAATTGAAAATAAAGGAAGGAAGAAAAAAAGTCTAAAATTTTGTCTCGTAACATTAAAATATTTTTTATTTGTCAACAAATTTAATATGTAAATTTACATATTTTATTCGTAACTGTCAATGAGCGCAACGATTAAAGAATTGTAAATTACAGTGCAAAAATAAAATGTTTAAAAAAATATTGCAATTTATAAAATGCCGAAATATTAAATATAAAATTTATGCAAATTAATTAGTTTACAAATAAAAAATCTAATTAATTCATGAATGAAATTATCATCTAATTATCGTCAACTATTGTTAAGATGACAAATTCTAATGTATATTTTGTTCGCATTTTCTAAATTGATCATTATTATATCCTCAACTTGTATCATTTTTCCGCCATTATTACCATTATTGTCAAGCAAAAGAATTGTATCGGAAAGATGAAAAAGAAAGAATTTATCAAATAATCGATAATATTATCACTTGATACAGTGTATAAATTAATTAATTAACAATTATCAAATAATGTATGCTGCAAAAAATACAAATAGGTTTATTCATTCATTTCCTTCTCCAATAATTATCAAATGATTTAATTAGTTGCCAAGCTAATCAACTGAGAAGATGATGATTGAGAGCCAAATGGAAGAGATCCAAATCACGGACACTTTTCACTTTCCATAATGGGATATTTTCCTGAAAATTGAAAATGTATAGGAACGGAATTGGAACAGGACATAGCAAATTATATTGTCCGTGAATGTCACGTCAAATTTAATTACATGTAAAATGAATGCTAATTAAAATCTTACGTAATACGTGTTACATCAAAAGTATTAATCGAAGAAAAAAGTGATGAAATAAGTGGAAATTACTATTTATACGTCTTGAAAATACAATGCATAGTGAACATTAATTAAGTTGAATGGACTAATTAATGTTGACAATAACTTTCGAAAGAGAAATTGTTTAAAAAAGCAGGAAGTAAATATTATAAGCATTGTATAATAAAGCTAATCGATTTATTTTATCCGATATATTTTTGCCACTGCTTGCTAATGACTAATTAATTAACACAGCATTTACATGAAGTAATTGAAGATATGAGTTTAAATGAAAAATTACAAAATTTTCAATCAATTATTTCGGTAGAATTCAAAAATTTCCATTAGCTTTTAAAAAAGAGAAAAAAAGGAAATGAAAGATGTTGAAGTGTTTTTATCACTTTATCTCTTGTCATTTTATCATTTCATCGCAAGAATTTTATCATAAAAAATGGAATTTCTTTTTAAAAATAAAAATTTTTCCCAAAAAATAAATGAAAAAATTTATAAAAATAATATTTCATAATTTAGCATAAAATTGATGCTTTCCTAAAAAGATTTCTTGATATATTAAATTTAAAACAAAAAAAAATGACCTTCAATAGATTGACAAAAATTTTTTTTCTGTGAAACCAAAAAAAAAAACTTGCTATTAACCTTTCAGGAAATTTATATCTCTTGACCGAACAGAATACAATGATACGACCGTTCCGCCATTCATCTTTTTCTTAATCAAAAAAATAAGTAAAAAAGCGAAAAATGTGGAATTTATTGAATTACGCGAAAAAAAGATTTCAAAAAGAGAACCCAAAATTTTTTAATTCAATATCCTCAAAATTTACATATATTCATTTCCATAATCTAGTTAAATTCGCTTTTTCTTTTATCATTTTAATAGAACAATTTTGGAATTCTTTATTTAAAATTTTTCCAAATATTTCTGTTGAATTAAAAATTTTAAGCTTTTTTTCTTAAATTTATAGCTACCATAATAAAATCTAAGAAAAGGATGTTAAAAAGCAGTTAGTGAGTAATAATTTTAACAAATATAAAATTTAAAGAAAAAAAACATTTTGAAATGTGTGACTTCTCAGAATTGCTAAAAGTAATTTTACTGCAAGAAACTTTTTTGAAGTTCATTATCTTTTTTGGATGTTAAAAAACATGAGAATAATACCTTGGGAAATAGAAATATTTCGCAAATAAAAATTTACATAAAACACTGTAAAAAATTTATTTAAAAAATTCAAAAATTAGAGAAAATCCTATGAAAATGATAAATTAGCTATAATTGACCTTTTTACTGAATATTTAAATTTGATTTATTATATATTTATTATTTGTTAGCTGAATATGAATTAAACTATATTGTTACATTTGATTTAATACGAACTAATATCGATTTTATATACCAATTTTAAATCCAAATCAAAATTACGTTTTAATTTTGGTTTCAAAAAATCGCTCACAGGTATATCAATTTGAAATTGTACAATTAAAAAAAAAGTCTGATTAAATCAGTTTTTTGTCTTAATTAATTAATTGGTCAAGAAATCAAATCAATATTTCATCTTGCCACAAATATCAATAAATCATTGATATTAATATCATTTTAAATTAATAACTATCCAATTATTTGTGCTTTAAAATTCGTTTTTTTTCTTTTTTAAAGTTATTGAAAATTACTCATTTTTTTTAAAACTATTTATCTATTATTTCTTTGTTAGATATCTTTTTCCTGCTATCATCTTTTCCACTAATTTCTTTTACAACGATTTTATAACAATAATTTCTTTCATACTTCATTTTAAAAAGAAGTTAAATTTTTTTTTTAATTTCCTCTTTGTCCATTAAACTATAACTACTAATTTCATACATTTTCTTTCCTATCCATGCAGCATTTTTTTTATTCCATTTTTTGTTTTAATTGCCATCTAAGTCTGTGTTTTGTCTTGCAAATTTCTCCATATCTCATCGTAATACTTGTTTACAATAACTCGTTTGCGCATTTCGCCTATTTTACCGTAATAGTTGTTAACAAAACTCGTTTGCGAATTTCTGCATATCTTACCATAATGCTTGTTTATAATAATTTTTCGAGAGTTTCTGCCTATTTTACCGTAATACTTGTTTATACTAATTCTTTTGAGAATTTCTGCTTATTTTACCGTAGTACTTGTTTACAATAATCAAAAAACATAAATATACCCAAAATTATTCCAAAATTGTGAAATAAAAGAAATTGAAACGTATAGAAATTGCAATAGAAATGAAAAATGTTAAAAACGTAATTGTCGAAAACAATTGTAAGAATATCGAAATAATTTCAATTTCAATTATATATCCAATATTTGTTTATTTAATATATTTAATACTTCATCATTTCAAATTTATTTAATACTTCATTTCTAATCAGTTTGCCCAAAATTTTCGAAATAATATTTTGTTTTGTTTAATTATACCTGATTTATGTTGCGTTTTCATATTTTAAATTCGTATTTTAAAATTAATTTGATACATTTTATATTATAATACATTACTGATAATTGATGTAAATGTAATGTTTTAAAATATTTATCAATTCTGTCAAAATCAATTTCCTACATTATTTGATTACATCATTTGATTTTAATCTCTAAAACAATAATTTTTGTTGACAAAATTTTGATTTGAAATAGAAATAAATAATTGAGGAAAAAACAAAACAAATAAAATAATCTCAAACCTTTTTGGCAATTTCATGCGTATCAAGATGTGTTGATATGACAACAAAAGAGCATTTTTTTCCAAAATGACTCAAAATTCGGTCAATTACCGCTTCTTTACCAATTTTCATTATGCTATAAACATTTTCCGCCGGTATCATTGAACTTTGCTCCATAATTAATAATTTAGCTAATGTTGAGACAATATTTTCGCCCGTTAATAACACATTTGCATAATGCTCACAAGATGATCTATAAATTAAATTAAAAATACAACTTCGATGAAAGAAATCTTTTAGAAAGATTAACTATTTGGTTATATTTTAGCTATAGTCTAGTTCTAATTTGAATTTTTTTAGTGTTGAAAATACCGGAATTTCGTTTCTAATCGATTTATTCCGGACGTCTCATTGTAAGTGTAAACGGAAACGTATTGAGATATAGTCCGGAAAGTTGGTAATTTAATGATGAAAGGAAAGAGAAGAGAGAGTTCAAGAGGGATAAGATAAGTCAATTGAAGTTAAGTAAATTAAATTGTCAATCAGGAAAGGGAAATGACACAAAGTTAAGCACCTCTCAATAACGAGCTTCAAACATTGTCCAACACTTTCTCCCCAACCTTGGGTTAATGGTTCCATTGTTGATTTTAATGTTAATAATTCGGCTCGTTCCGTATTTCCAGTTCTTTCTAAAAGGCCTAAAAAAAAAAGAATTGTCCATTTCTAAAATTTATAGTTAATTAATAAATTGTTTTCTAAAATGTCCAATTATGAAATTTTCTTAAGTCAAAATTGCATTCATTTTAAAATTAATTAAGTAAAATTAATCCAAATTAATTCAAATAATATTACAATTATATAATAAATAAATAGTTGTAAAATTCAATTTTGTGCTAAAAATTATAATTAAATAACTTTAGAAATTACCAAAAAAATAATAGTAATAATTGCATTAAATTGATATTTTAAATGGCTTAAATTAAATAATTGTTTGATTTAAATTAACAATAAATTAATAATAGATTTGTTAATAATACAATGAAATAATACAATGCATCATTTCCATATAAAATTTTTAAAAAATATATTAATTCTAATGAAACTTTTAAAAACATAGCATAAAATTTATTACTTTTTCTTTTTTTAAATTTAGCGAATTCATTTTTTTTTTTGTTCAATAAAATGATAGCATATGTATATTTCTTTGTATTGATAATTTGATTAAATTCAAATACTTTATTTAAAAATTCATTTTTCAATCATAAAAAAGAAGAAAAGAAAAAATCAAACCAGCAAAATTATTCTTATACGAATTATAAATATCTTTAATGTGTTGATATTTTGCAGCTAATTTTCTCATCCAATCTACACCTCCACGTGCATGACATAACAACGATGATTCAGTGTCACCAATTGCTGATGTACTTGGTGTATCGATATTAATTGGCGTATATGTCATATCATCAAATGTATCATCGATATTAGCATCTTCGATATTAACATATTCACAATCTTGCTAAAAATAAAAAGAAAAAAAAACAATAATTGAATAAATCTTAATTGGATCAATTGACTGAATGTGATGAATGAATAAAAAATGTTAAATATACTTACAATATCTTGATCAATGCCAAAAATAGATGTAATCAATCGATTAACATTATTATTAATCATTTGTGCTAATCGTTCATTACGAATTGGATCATTTGATCGAAGGAAAAAATTCGATAATGCACAAACATCTTCCATTTCCCATATAAATGCACGTTTATATTGCTTTTCCGGACTATTTCTACCAGCCGGATTTTTTTTACGTTTTGTTGTTTTATCTTGAAAAAAAAAAAGGAAATCATTATCGTAAAATCAATCATTTAATTAATGAGATTTTTAAAATAATGATAATATGAGACAATAAATTACAATGAATTATTGTATTTATCAAATTTCTGCTCAAAATATATAATTAAATTAATTTAAGTACTATTTAATCAATAAATTCCATACATCATTATCCTGTTAGTATTATCTAATTTCAATTATACATTTTGCTAAATTATAAATTATATATTTTTTTGATGATGATAATTTAAAATTACAAAAAATAAATTTTAAAATTTAAATGAAATTCACTTAATCGTTTCGTTTCAGGTTTTGTGGTAAACGAAGATAATTGATTGGATGTATTCATATCATTTGCTAATGAATTCATTGCCTGAAATAATCTTTCTTTCTTCTTTTATTTTCATATCTTTTTAAAAAAAAAAATCAATTTTTTACTAAAAATTTTTTACAAATTTCATTTTTTTTCTCAAATTTACAAGTAAAACAATAGTCAAATTTTTGTTATAATATATAGCAAAAATTTGTATTTCAATGTTACACTTATCAAACAATCTAATTTAATCAAATTATAACACTGAATATGTCAAATTATCTGATCATAATTTTAATTAAAATAAATATATCAATGTGATATGTGACTATTATATGAATACAAATTATTGATTGATATGGTGACTATTATATGAATACAAATTATTGATTGATATGTGACTATTATATGAATATGAATTATTGATTGTTTTCAATTATTCATAAAAAATGCTCAAACATTGAGCAAAAACAAAAAAAAAAAATGGAAAAAAAGCACAGTTTATGATGTAAAAGAAGAAAAAAACTTGCTTGGAGATATGGGGAATCGAACCCCAGCCCTCTCCCATGCTAAGGGAGCGCTCTACCCCTGAGCTATATCCCCAGTCATGCGATTATCAATTGAAACAAATTTGGAAAAATGGATTTTTTTTTCTTTTATTTCATTATCATCAATATCTCATATGATATTCATTAATTAGCAACATTCACTAATTAGCATTCATTTCGTTTATCAGAAAATTTAAACATTAAAATAAAATAATTTTTCATTCAGTTCAATTTCTGCAATTTAATTTTTGATTGTTTTTTTCAAACTTGATTAAATTTTCAATTATTTTAATTATAATTACGATGTTAAATAACAAAAATAATCATTTTTCAACTCATTCTAATTCATAAATTATTTGAATAAAAAAAATGAAAATAATAGAACTTTCCAATTTTTTTTCTTTTGTATTATCAGATTATTTTCTGCTATTTTATTTTTTAACTCACAAATTCTTAATTTATTTTCAAAGTTTCTTATGCAAATTATTTTCGAGAATTCTCGACTTATTTACTCGAGCTATTATTAAATTAACACTCGATCAGGATATTTTTGTTTATTTAATTAATTATATTCTGAGATTGTTTTATTAATAATTCATTTATCTTAATGGTATCTTCCAAAGAATGTTTCAAGAAACACACATATAATGATGAATTTGATGAAACAGGATTAATGGAACACCCGTAATAACCACTTCGACCACCGTAACAATGCATTGTTGCTGGATAAGATGTGTAATCAAAATGAGCTGTTGTATAACCGTTACCTGTAATTGTATATTTTATAAAAATATTTAAATTAAAATTAATGAAATTTCAATCAAATTTTAAATTTGAAAATGAAATAAAATTAACGAATTTTTAATGTATACTTTATTTTTGTTGTAATTTATTTGAAAAATTACTAAAATTATCACTATAATCATGTTAGAAATGATTACATTATCATTGTAAATAAAAGGCAAATTGATAAAAATCAGGTGATATCAGGAGATGATAAGGAAGATAACGAAGTATATTGTTGGACGGAAACGAAAACTTTGATCATTCATTTTCATTTCTCTTTTTAAACTTTTCACTTAACATATTATTAGTAACATTTTATGCAAAAACAAAATTTTAAAATGAACTTTTTAAATCCCAAATTACAATTTTATCGTTAAATACGAAAATGAAACTTTTTAGATTTTTAATTCAAATGTTAACTTTTAAAATTTCAAATTTAATTACAAAAAATTGTTTCACAAAATAATTACTTTACTACTTTTTATTGTTATTTCTTGTCCATTTCCCTCTCACTTTTGAGATTTTTCGATAATTAATTGCAGCAATCATTTGGTCATTCTTCCCAAATCTCACAACGATTGCAACTGTTGTCTTTGTGAAGAGAGAGAGAGGGAGAGAGAGGCGAGGAGAAAGAAAAAGAGAGAGAGAGAGAGGGAGGGAGAGATACTTGTCCATACTAATATAGTACTTTGAGAAATAGCCGTTATGAGGTCATTACCGTAGTAGGCATGAGATGCAGCGGCAGCAGCAAACGGAAATGACGTAGCTGCGGCAGCGGCAGCGGATCCACGTAATGAGGACGATACAACAGGATAGTAATTTTGTGTTCCGCCAGCAGCATACATTCCAGCGTAACTTGCACTCGAATAACCACCGTTGTAGTATGGTGTAGCACTAATTATGCGAGAATCTAGAAAATGCTTAACCTTTGACCTTTAAAAATTGGACAAAGTACGAGTTTGCCAATATCTTATTCTTTTCTATCAATAAAGGAAACGATATAACTTTGATATGATAAATGGTAAAGGAAAGCATAAACGACATTGTTGAAATTAATTTCTAGTTTCAGTTTCAATTATGTACTGTTACTTCTTCTGTACCGCAAATATGTCGTGACCTTTCAATGACCTTTTTCATTATTAAGTCATAAAATGCTGTTAATAAGTTGAATTTTTGAATATCTTACCGTAAGCGACTGCAGCTGCGGTAGCAGCTGCGGCATCGGACATAGCTGCCAGCGCAACTGGACGCTCCGATAATGTTGGCATTAAATTTTCCGATTTAACAGCACCTGGTAGCTGTGCTAAACCAAATGATGCACCAAAAAATGTATTTGGTGAAGTTTCCAGATGTCCTGATGATTCACGACTAAAAATATTGGTAAAAAATAAAAAATTTTACCAAAATTTGCAAAATTTTTGAATTAAATTTAAATTTAAATTCAAAATAAACGTTTGAGAGTTTCTCATTATACTTGAAAATATTCAAAATATTTGACAAAATCCGTGTACTTTTCTCCAAAAGTCTCTTCTAATGATTTTGGCCATTTAAATGAAAAGTAATTCTACTAATCATTTCATAATTTTTATTTTTATTATTTTTCTATTCCAATGTTTAAATAAAATCAGTTCTGACTAGATGGGAAGAAAAAGGAGTGCATTTGAAATATTTTAATACTTCATTAAATTCAACGAAACTTAATTTCTAACCTTACAGTATCATTTGATGAAGATGAAACCCGAAATGCGCTATTTTTCACCTGAAATTATCGAACTAAATGAAAAAAAGAACGGAATTGAAGTATTGGAAAGATGAAATTTCGGTATTGCATTATATTTGATTTTAAATACTTTAATATCGTTTGAGTAAAAGCGTAAGAAAATTGATAACACAAAAAGGTTTTAGTGTCACATCAATTGTTATGTTGAGATTTAATTAAGTTTTAGGAAAATTAATAGTGTCGATTATTGTGTAACGAAAAAATTACATTTACACGAAAATGCTATTAAATTTTAATTTCCAATATAAATAAACACTTTAAAAATATTAAAGTATCAAAATGAGCACACACAACATACATATATACACATACACACATACATACACACACACACACACACACACACACACACTCACTTAAATACATCAACAAATTCTTATCAACTGATTAAAAAAATCTTTTTGAAGAGAAAATTTAATATTTAATTTAATATCAAAACTTTGCACATTCTAAATTTCTTGTCATAATAAATTTAATATTAAATATTAGCATTAAAGGATATGAAATATTGATTTTTTTTTTTAATATTCTAAAATGATTTCATCCATTTAAGTATTTTTAAAGAAAAAATGCACAAATAATAAGACTTAGAATAAAGGCAACAAGAAAAAAAGAAAAAAAAGAAAAAAAGTAGGATAAAAAACCCGCCGAGAAAGATGAAAAAAAGTGGACAGGTGCCACCGCAGGGGTCCTACTATACACTACGGTGCAATTAACCTACAACCCTAAACAATCAAGCCTTCTTGTCCTAATCCAAAATTACGGCTGATGCTTGTCCATCTATCCATTTGTCCACTCTCTATGCTTTTTTTTTTGTCTTTTTTCCCCCCTGTCCAGTGCCCTTTTTTTTCTGCTCAATTATCCATTCTAAATGATAATTCATTCCATTGTGTGCTAAAATGAAACGAACAAATAATTATTAATTTGGCGGCCTTTTCTTTTTCTGCATATGCAAAATTGTGATAATTTAAAATAAGGACGAAATAATAATAAAAATAGCATTAGTATTTAGGCTAAAAAGTTACTTTGTATAATTAAAAGTTACAATAAACTGTTAAACAATTTCAAAATTATCAAAATTTTGCATATTTGATTTTAATTCCGACTTTGGAACTTTTAAAATTATGATTTAACCCACTTTTAAAATTTTGATCCTTAAACGTATTAATTGAATAAGCATCTGTATTATAATATCTTGATAAGGAAGAATTTTATGATTATAATTAGAATTGGAATTAAAACTGAATTGTCGAATTTCATTACTTGCATTGATGGCAATATAACAAGGAGTGTGATGCATATAAAACAATGATAATATAGCAAATATATACCATCAAATTTTTAATTAAAATTCATAAATAAAAGAATTTCAGAATGAAAAGAAATTTTCTGCCAAATAAATTTAATTTCAACAAAAATAAAAAAAATTTTAAAAAACTGAAACTCTATTTAAACTTCAAAAAATACTAGAGGAGGTAATTAAATGAAATTAATTAATTTTAATGTTCGATTAAAAGAACATTTGAGTATTTTTTTTATATTTGATTTGTTTGCATAATGTATGTATGGAAGCCGTCAAAATAGGGCATGACCAGGGGTAAATGGTAGGAAAGTTTGTCAATGAGTGGACAAGGGCCAGATATATGGATGGACAGATGTTTGTAAGGGTTTATGCAAATATTGTTGATAGTAAAGTGGAAGATATAGTGCAAACATAACCTAATGTTACTAATAATCAGCATTACTTATGGCAAGCAAAAAAAGAAAAATTTGGAAAACCATTTGAGAAGGAAAAACTGTATCAGGAAAGTTAAAAACCGAAATTACACAACTAAACTGGAAAGGATTTAATTAGCAGATAATTAAATTCATTTAAGATTACTTTTAATGATAGGTACTAACGATTGAATATCTGTTGAGAATTCAAGTGATAGTGCTATCAATGTTATCAGTTTAGGAAATTCACAACTTCATAATACACTGATATTGTTAATCAAATACAATCTGATATTTATTTAAAAAACTTGAACTTTGTCTGCCGTACAGAAATTGATGATGATAATGGGTTGAAATTTGATAGCTGCCGAAAAGTTGAATAGTCAAAACAGTCAAAAGATCAAATGATCAAACATCAATACTGTGAGTTCGATAACTTTCTAAGCATTTTATCCTAAAATCTTGTTCTATTTTGCAGTTCAACTTTCATATGGTTGACAATTGCCGTAATAATCTTAACTTTTTTTTTACTGTAGAATGATAGATTGATCAGTTGAAAATTGTTCAATCATTACTTTTCATTAAGTTATTTCAAAAGAAAAAAGTTTTGAAACTGTTATTTGCTCAGAAATTTTTCAGCTGAAACTTGTTAAGATAAATGAATATGATAATGTTTATTGAAAAGTAATAAAAATAAAAAAAATTAGTATAAAACATTAAAAAACTTATTTTCAGTATGGTCATTATGATGAAATGATTGTTGTCATGATAGGATGCTCCAAATAAGTAAATAAATAATTGAGTAAACACGTCAATTAGCAAATTAAGTAATTGGGCATTTCAATAAATTACTTTAAACCATACTTTGAATCATTAATTCGCCTCTTTAATATTATCAACAAATAATTATTCCCCACCGATGATGATGATGTTGGTGATGATGATGCTGATGATAATAATATTAATGATTATACATAATGATAGTGATATTAAAAATCAATAAGAAAGACAAGTATTAATCAGCTAAATTTGTTACATTTTCATGATAATGGTGTTTTTCTCAAGATACGCATTTTCAATGATACGCATAAACGGATATTTTAGATCAAAAAATACTGCATTATTGTAAATTATTATTATTATTACTATTAATGCTATTATTATTAACATTATTATTACTGTTATTATCACCATTTATCTTGATTATTATCATTATCAATAACAAATAACAATAGCAATATTATCGATGCTAATAACAGCAGCGTTAGCAATAGTAGCAGTAACAGGAAATTGTAATTTGACACTTTTCTGTAGTTTTCCTACTCTTTCATTCTCTCCCATTCAGCTTTTTCATTGACTTCAAATCTATCCGATCATATAATCCGTACCAAACTTGCTCGAATGCGTCATTTGGTCCTTCATTTACTAATCTTTCAACATCCGCCAATTATCAAAATAAATTTATCAATGAAAGATGAAAAAAGAAAAAGTTGAAAAAGATAAGAGAAGAAAAGAAAAAAAAAGAAATTTTATAATAATAATACTAAATTTTTCTTGTTTGTTAGATAATAAATTGAATAAATTGAAATTTTAATAAAATCAAATTATTGTTTGATTCTTTGATTTTTGATTTCTTTGATCGATAAGTAAAGAAAAGAACGAAAAACATTTTTGAATATGTTTTGTAGTTTTATGTTATTTATGATATTCCAATAATTAAATTGAAAATTTCACGCAGAAATGTCACTTATTACTGTATCGTTTAAATTTGCATATTACAGCATATTAAATATAAAGAGAAAAAAGATAAATTAAACAAAATTTACCAATCGATATTTTTACTTTTTTACTTTTTTCTTTTCTCTCTCTCTCTCTCTCTTTCTCTCCAATAGCAACAAATTTTTGTGACATTTACAAAATATAGTCTCTAAAAAAAATATAGTCTCTTTTTTATTTTTTATTTTTTTTTAGCATGAGATAGCAAAATACAATAAAGTAAATAATAAATATAACCTTACAGTAGATCAATTTACACCTGTACTTCTTATCCTTACTTACTTTTTGTTACAGTAAGTATCGTATGGTGTAATACAAATCCTTTTGTTTGCTTTTTTTCATCCAAAAATTTAGTTGAAAATTTAACAAAAATTTATATGATACAAATGGTGAGATATAGTTAATTAACTCATACCGTTAATAATATAATTTTTCATTTTTAGTATCGTAATTAAACAGTATTTGTAAGATACAGCAATAATTTAGCTATACGGTATAGGAAAACTATTAAAACTTAATAGGTATTAAAACTTAATACCATAACTTTGTTTAGCAAACGATTCAAAATTAATTATTATGATGTAAGGCAAGGAAACAATTAATATAATTTAAATAACAACCAAAATTTAATATTACAATTTAAGTAATTGATCAAAAATCTTATATCATGATTTAAATGATGACTAAAATTTAATACAATAATTTGGAAGACCATAATTTTTATGCAATAAACGATATTAAACTAAGAAATTACGATATGTTTCGTGGTTGAAAAATAGAAATGAATAAAATGTTGTAAAATGAAAGAAATAATTATGCCATCGAGCAATCATTCTTTCGACAAATTTGATTGAGAAAACGGATGAGAAAATGGGATTATATCCCAATATTGCGTAATATTTTTGATATCGATACCGAATTTCAGAACAGATGTAGAAAAGTGAAGTGGACTTAAGAATGATGCAACAATGACAATTAATGCTTAAAATTCTCAAATCATTTACTGTTACATCATTGTTAAAGTAACTATTTTGCATTGTATCTGCCAACTTTTTTCCTTTTTTTCTTTTTTGAAAAGAATAAACAAATTTTTCAATTTAAAATTTATTACATTTAATTTTTTAATTTTATTCTATAACAATCTAAAAGTTGCATACAGTATGAAATGATCAAATAAAAATGAATTAAACGAAATGATCAAATGATTCGATCTGGTATATAATATGGTTAAGATTAATAATTATGCAATAATCATTAATATATTTAGTATTTAGTTAAATTTATTAAACAAGTATTGGAAACCATATGGGGAGTGATAATAAAAGATAAGAAATAATGGAAATATTGATTGGTTTTTTTGTTTCTTCCATTTTTGAAAAGATTTTTTAGAATTCCTTGGTATATTCCTTCAAAATTTATAATAATTAATTCGAAAATAATACAATTTTGATAAATTCTTGTTAAAGTTACGAAAAGGAAAAAAAGAAAGTTTGCTATTTTTTGTTTAATGTTTTTTTCATTATAAAAAAGAGGGACAAAGTAATATTTTATAAAATTTCAATTTAAACATTTCATAAAGACATAAAGATGAAAGGTATAATGTGAAAATGTTAGAACATTTGTTGTGAATGTATAAATATGAAGAAGGTGGAAACGATGCATCATTTCTATATATTTTGATTTTCTTTATTTGAAATAATTCTATAAGAAACTAAGAAATAAATGAAAATATTTGTAATTAATTAACTAATTAATTAATATCGCATGAATTGGATTTTTGATATAAAGTAATAAAATAAGTAAGGCGTAAAATTTCTTGTGCTGTTTTTAACAAGTATAAATGTTGCTGTAATTTCTGCTTTCTTTCAAAGAAATAGCAAAAAAAATAATTGAATATCAGAAATGATTTACTCATTTTATTTCTTATTACAATGGCTTGCTTGTTTTC